CACATAGATCACGATTTAAGAATTTTAGCAGGTCATCGTAGATTAAATTTCCATGTTGGTCTTTGACTATGCTACAATGTTATAATTAAAATGTGTGTGATTGCATCCAACTTACACGTCTAAAATTCGATTGAGCAAAGTTATATCAACAGGCAACCTGCAAGCTCGTAATAGCTTGTAAACTTCCTGTCGGGGCAGTGTTCCCTTTTTTTGGTGATCGAACTTAATCAAGTATTCCCTCAACCGTTTCAAGTCGTCCCAGAGAAAACGTTTCAACTCGGTCAACGTGATTGCGCTACCAAGAGAAGAAAATCACTGTCATTTTCTGACCAGGGACCTACCGTATTGCGTCTCGATTAAATTTTTCTTCTACGCAGTTTGCAGAGAATGCACGCGATACTGTTATCATCTCCTGTTCTGTAAAATCGCTTCCCATAAGTCGACAGAGTTTGTTTCTAAAATTTTGAATTGAGTGCGCACGCGTCACGAAGGCACTATTTTACCTCAGCTTTTCGTAGGTTATCACCGGTGTTTCGGTAGGTATATTTTCGGCTACGAAATCCTTGTACGTTGGTCGAACAACTTTGCGTATCTTATCCATTATTAGTTTAATATTAGATTTTGGGAACTGAAAGTTTATAGTAAAAGTAAAACATTTGTTGTCATTCTGATACATTCTTGACAAAAGAACCGTTTTCTTTTCACATGAACTGACTTGTTATTTGAAAAGAAAACGCTAATAATATCGTTGGCTGATGATGACAGTATTTCTGTCGAAACGTCTTTTTAATAATATTTTATTTCTTGTATTTTATTACCTCGTGACAATTCAGTTCCATATATCGCAAGGCATAGTCATCTGCGTCTACTAACACAAATTTGAAACTGTTAATTACTAACGTCGCACCAACAAAAATGTGCTGAGTGCGGTAACATTCGGGCGGTTTACTTGTAAACACAGCTTGACCCGGCAATTTAATTTCTCCTCGTTTAAAAAATGGGCTAGTTTTAAAGCCCGAGTTGGCCCTAGCCAATTCGAAAACCGCAATGGTATCGTTGGACAAGAAATAGCTAATTACAAAAATTCGTCCGCAATTTTCGTCAATTGAAGATATCAATCTTCCCTCAAATCGTAGGACGTGGCTGTCCAATCCGTTTCTATAAAAATAACACGATTATGATGATGATTCTTGCTTTAAAAAAATTACTTATCGAATTTGAGAAACTTTTTAAAATCTCCATGGGGTGCCTTCGGCTCTACTGTGATGCAATTTTGAGCCGAGTCTTCAAAACTTCCATAACCATTCCATGGGGGTAGCTCGCGTTCCTGCGGTGTCGGTATTCCCATTTGCGAATCTAAAGGTTTCGGTATCGGCACGAAACTATCCAGCCCATATTTGGCCCGGTAATACTCTTTGGTGTAAGAATCACAGTCGGTAAGCACCACTTTTCTACCGTAAACGTTTATCATTCCACCTATAGTCAAGTCTTGCTCCAAGTAGTAGTCTCGGTGTTCCTTGCCACAGTCCAAACTGTCCACCACGTATCGGCTTGATTTTATATCATTGCCTAACACATTCAGCAAGGTTAAATGACAGTGATCACCAGGTCTAGGTAACCCAGTGTACTTCTTGACAAGTTTATCTCTTCGGAAAAAGACAGAACTAGACTTATGCCCCCCGTTATCTACAACCACCTCTTTGATATCAATTGTGTCATCCGACAGATAGTAGAGCACTTCCAAATGATGAAGATACCCATACTGAGTTTCTTGATCGTCCCAATATCCATAGAATCGTAACACCTACAATAGCCAATGCAAAAAGGCGCACAAATCATATACCACCTACTTTACGATCGTTCTCCAAGAATTTTCCTAGCGTGTCTATCTTTCTGCTCGGTTTCTTTGGCAGTCGCGTTTCGATGTCATACGCGCGACTTTTATAATAGGGATCCTCTGGAACATTTATCGGATCGGGAACGGCGATGCCGCAACGGTTTAGAAAGTTTCTAGTGAACTTGTCACAGTCCGTAATTTTGTAAACTCGCCCGTAGAATTCAACTTCATTTCCGACGTTCAAATCCATAACGTCGTAAAAATTCGCATTCATCGGAGCCGGAAAGCGCACCCTCGCGCGCGCCAGTAAAGTACCTTGAGATATGCCGCTGTTATCAATCTTCGGCTCCATCACTTGTATGGTGCCGTCTTCCAAAAAGAAGTAAATGACCACCTTGCGTATTTGAAATGGGGCGCACCTGTGCTCTTGTAATGTTTCTCGAAAAAATGCGTAAAAGCGCAATATCTGCAAATTTACCTACATCACCCCAATCTAATTTGATTATAAGCGTACCTGTTTATCGAACCCAATCCACGAGGGTATTTCGGGTACCTCGCCACGTGGATACAGCGAAGGGTATCGGTCAGTTAGATTACCTAACATGTTCGGCTTTACCCTTTCACATAGTGCGCCCACCCCCTTTTCTATGAAGTCGAATTTTGGGTCTATATTAAATTTCGTTTTTCCAATCTGAAAATTAATCCGCAGACAGAAAAATTCTAAATAGTAGATTTACTTACTAGTGGATTAAACGTAAATCCTGGAAGAAACGGGAGACCAGGACAACGAGCCATTTTAATTAATAAAGAATAATTTGGCGAAAAAAACTCGTCTATTTGAGAGTAAATTTCTAGTGACTTTTAAATATGAATCATCTTAGTTTGTTGCCATGGTTATTGTTGGTAGGAGGACGTAATCGATGATTTTTTTTGTTTCCATGACTACTTACAATTGTTCCAGCTTCGTGTAATCCTAATTGAATTTGAGTTGTTGATTTTTGAATGTTTAAAGTCTAGGTATTACCATTGATTATACAATGAATGCTATTACATATGTATATGTGAACCAAATCAAGGCAAAATCTGCTCAAAATTTGATACTTTGAGGTTACACCAATGCTGCATTCGATTTCTTCAATTTTTAGGAGAATTTTTCGAAACAAAATCTCCTAATGTGATGGTTTTGTCGGTCTGTTTCTCGGCTAACTCGAGAACGAAAAGAAACAGCGATGGAGTTCAAGGGCAGTGCTATTGAATATGAGCCGGATCAAAAGTCCGGTTTCCGAATGCGAGCTGAGTAGCAAGAAATCCTCCTATTGAAAATCGTATGCGATTCTTCGTATCTTGCTTTATTGCGACAGCGTATGTAGACGATGCGTATCAAAAACTGATATTAGTATAGGTTGTCTATCTATAAGAGGGTGATGTGAAATAACAAATGAGTCTTAATTAATTTAAATTGTGATTGCTGAGTGATGCCGATTTTTTTTCCAAATTTTAAAGATTAGATTCATTGATACTAAAGTTTCTTTAGCTTAGAAAATGTCAATGTTCTCCAAGTGCCGCACATATTGCATGGGTACCTTGGTATAACTTGCATCTGAAGGCTTCTGAAAGCCTAGAGGGGGAAGGGTGAAATTTATCACTTTAGGAGAATGAAATGTGCCTGATCGCTGTGTATGTATGTTCCTCCATATCTTAAGCACCGTTGGAAATTTTGAAAATCTCTTTTGATACTTTATTGTAGCTAACGTTCCGAAAATTTCCATAGACATTGAGGCGCCACGAAAGATTAATCATCGGCGATAAAGTACGAGAGCGAATGTGACTTTCCGAGAAATATGACCTATTTTATTATCGAATGTTCGTACACGTTTGGGAACCTTCGACTTTATTATATAAGCAAATCGGATTGCGTTATAGTTCAGTTGCAATTAGAACGCCGAGGTAGTAAATTGTTCGCGCTCTTGTAAATTGTGTATTCGTGTGTGATAAATGATACTTTTTCTGTTTTAGATTAATGGATATTTCAAGACTGTCATAAATTTATTGTTGATTAGTTGTTATAAATAAACGACGTAATTAAATTTATTTACGTTACAGTATTATCGGTAAATCCGGAATGATCCGTTTAATTCACGAGGTTCTTCGGACTAACCTGCACGATGTAACGGTAGCCCTAAATGTGGTTTTAGTTTTTTGAATGTTATAGAGGGTGAAGTGATTTTCCAATAACTGGTGGAATTGTAAAAGTTAACTTATCTCCTATTGTGGGATTTGTAAAATTTGCAGAAAATTCAGCGAGTGATAGTATACATATACACATCAGGGGGGTTACTCACCTCTGATTGGCTTTTAACAACAAATGGTTTACTTATTTACTCAGCCATCTTGAAATGGCGAATCAGGTTATTCCGGGAGATTTTGATTTTATTTTCGCGTTTGAAACACTGATGCGACCAGTGCGTGGTGCATAGTAAGATGTTCGAAGATTCGAATCTCCAGTGACAGAAAGGATGACCTATTGGCACTTGGTCACTGTAAAATTATCTCTAGGTTGGTTTCCGAATATCACCATGCACTAGAGCAAGTAGCAAGCAGCAACCCTCTTGAGCTCGTTTGGGTTAAAGGACATGCTAGAGCGTAAGGCAATGAGAAAACCGATGAGTTAGCCCGACTGGCCTCAAAACAGGTGTTTTATGGTCGAGAGCCTCCCACTTACAGTCGCAACTGTAAATAACTTAGTAACTCAAGACACCCAAACGCCATGCATCTCGAAGCTTGGTGTGTTTTTGCACAGGGCTATTTAAAGAACCTGAGAGGTTTGTGAATGTCCCGCTCTAGTCCAACTGAGACGATCCATGCGTTGTGTGTCTCCTGTCCGGACTAGGCTACGTGTACCCTTAGCTTCATCTCACGTGTGGAATGACTTGAGTGATGTTGAGGGGTCGGACGACTCTAGTCAGGGAGTTAGTACCTACAAAGTGCCCCAATGGGAGGTCTACGAGCGCGTAGACTTAGTCCATCCTCCTATCGTAATCCAGATCCTGACAACATATACCACTCACACAAGGACATTGTTGTTCAAGTGGAAGAAGTGTCCAAAAATCAATACTCAATTAAGTCAATAAAACGCTCGCATGTTGGTGGTTGGCTTTATATTAGTCTGTATGCGGCTTTAACTACTATATTTAAACCTTCAGGCAACTAAACATACACATGTGCTTGTACGTTGTAAGTAAATTGTTACTGAATCAGCTGTGATCTCACGTTCTGTTTGTTTCTTTACTTACCGCTCTACGTGAATGTATTTTTGATGTGCATACCTACTGATATCATTATGTGTGATTAAATTTGCGTAATTGTTGATATTTTGCTAGCTGCGTAGTAACGCGGTTAAAAAAAGGGCGAGGTTTCTTCCTTTTTTGTAATTTGCATAATTTAAAAATGAGTGACCCCCCTGATCAAGCAGTTGATCATGGAAAAGATCGGCTGTCGAAGAGAAAAATTGCGGGTATCAAAATTAAGAGTGTACTGTACTCGGTGGTTAAGAGGGTAAGTTTTTGTATTCCCGTATTTCACGGGCTGACTGACTGCTTTGTAGGTGGCGAGTGTCCTGTTTGTGTATGCCGTAGGCTACATGCAGTGGTCCTTTGGATGGTTTTTCGGACCGATTGTTCTTCTGGTAATTAGGGATCAGTATCGAAAATCAAAGGATCAGAAGAGTAAAATTACCAAATCTATAGCTCTAGCTCAGGAAGATGATGTGATCTTGGCACGAATTGAGGATCTACCTGCTTGGGTAACCCAGTATTTAAAAAAAATTATTCCATTCCTATGTTTTCCAGGTTTACTTCCCTGATGTTGAACGAGCTGAGTGGCTGAATAAGGTAAGCTGAAACTGGTAACTGAGTAAAAATTGTAATGATAAATTTTACCACCAAATCTGAATAGTCTTGTGCAACTTTGTCATGTGGTCAAGGGCACAGTTACAGGGACTATAAGTACCTAAAGCACAATTTTGCTGTCCGACCTGTATTTCTGTGTACAAGTTATTGTTTAATTGATATTTACAGTTGTGATGTAATTGTTTACAATTACTTCTCAAATTTCATAATTTGCAAAAAAATTTACATGGCATGAATACGGTACAAGGGTCCACAGGAATAGGTACAACTGATGATGATTTTATATTTGTATTTTTCTCAATTAACTTGATCGAGTCAGAAAATAGTGTATTTATTTAGTATCACTGTCTCCAGGTAAAATAATAAGCAGGACACACAAGGATACCTAACATTTAATTGGAACACATGTTCTAGTTCTACATCTATGCACCAGAGTGCTACTACAGAATCAGATATTACCTATTGATAACCTTGCTAAAACCAAAATTGAAAATAATGTGCTTTAATGTATCTATTTCTAAGGGGAGCCTGACCAGGCAACACTTAGGCATACCAAAGGCCCATTGAGCCTACCCCCTTTCTTTCACAACTAGGTTCAGAGCCCATGCCTATCAATAAAGGATAGATTCTGTTTACCCTAAGTTGCTTCAACTCCCCCCCCCCTCCCTCCCCCGGTTCCAGATTACTGTCACGGAACCAAGCAGCTGATGTCTATCTCTGATCAAGGCGTCACACTGACAGACCACATGCTCTGTAGTTTCATCTGCATTGCTACAGAACCTGCACGTGGGCAACAAGCCCAATGTACGTGTCCGAGCTGCCCCACCCAACATGGTGTGCGTCTGCATCACAGCCAACCACAAGAAGTGGCCCATCATTTTGACTACTCTATCAAGTCAGCCAGCTCCCTGGTGGGTGGAGCCTCTTCCTAATCGTACGAGTTTCCTGAAACAGAAATCAGCAATTGGATAAGACTCGATTCGTCTATCGACATAAATACAAGTCTTAGGGTTCAGTTGGCTGTCCCTCTGATAATAGAGTCCTCAACCCGGCTTAGATCTCTTACGCGCCCCCTGTAAACCGAAGGTTGATATGTAGGCCTGTCTGCTTTACAGCAAGTTGACGGCCTATTAAACAGGCCCCTCCCCCATATTGTGCTCCAAATGGGTAAAAAGGTTACCTCGTCCATCATCCCCCTTCCCCTAGTGATGCGGGCAGTTTCGATCCCCTTAGTACTAGCGGTATAACGGCAATTCTTGAAAGATACTGCATTTTGTGATCCCAAGGGCACACCTGTTCCATAGAACAATTTAGACGATTTGATCCGAAGAACAAGTGACATTTTTCGTGTGGGTAGATTTTGGAGGGGGTGGGGGTGATTAATTGTAAAATTTTTGAAAAAATCGAAATATAACCTAGGGAAGAGATCTGGGTATCAATTTCGAATGATTTTAATCAGAGGAATCCAATAGTAGCGGCAGAAATGTAATCCGGATACAGGAAGTCCATCAAAAGTCGCCATTTTTTAGAAAATGGCCGACTTTTGGTCGAATTGTATTTCCAAGGCACGCAGGGGCGTTTTGTTAATATGTATTTTTATTATATTAAGTATCATTATAAGTTTATATATTAAAACTTTGGAATATATTGGTTTTCACGGCCCGTGACGTCATCAGAAAGTGTGGTAGTGAAGCCTCTCATGCATGTCCGATGCTCTTCGGTTATAATATTTTTGTTACCATAAATGATTCCCTGACCCCAAAAACATAAATCGAGACACCTTAAATGATCTAATGTGCCATAGAAACATAATTCGTCCAAAAGTCTGTTATTTTCTAAAAATTGCGGCTTTTGACTGACTTCCTCTATCCGGATTACATTTCTGCCCCTACTATTGGATTCCTCTGATTAAAATCATGCGAAATTGACACCCAGATTTCGTCTCTAGGTTATATCCTTCGGGGTTATAAGGAACAGCTGTACCAAGTGGCACCTTGGTATCACAAAATGCAGTATCTTTTGGTATATTGCTAGTACTACCTGGTCGGTATCAAGAATCGCCACATGTGTCAAAAGCTCGTTATCTCCCGACGGCGCCCTCTCACTTACCTGGAGCAAAACTCGCGCGTGCGGTTGAAAGTTCTGTCGCTGGAGTACCCGATAGGATGCCTTATCGACACCAAATGCTAGGAGGACTCTACCAGGCTTCTTCCCCCAGATGAACGTCCTCCATAGACTTGTTCTGAAGCCAGGCTTTTGCCTCTGGAGGCGTTTCAAGATGGCGGCTGTGTCATACGGGATAATACAGCCATCACCAGATACCCTAGGGACGTGCTTCTGAACTTTTACAGATGCGCCATCCTAGGGTCTAATAAGAGAGACTGTCCTCTCCAACCAAACCAAGATCCACCGGGCGGATTCCAGCGGAACCCTACCAGCCGAGGAAAGGTTCCCCCCCTCCATTTTGTCAACTGCATTCATTGCAACCATAATGAGGCTCAGGGATGTCCACCTCCGGGTGCGACACTGGAACAATGGCCACCCTGAGCACCGCCGCATTGACTTGTTCATAGGTTCGTGGTGCACTCGCAACTTTAGGTGCTCCAGAACTTCTATGCTTCTTCTCAGACTGCCCTGAGTCAGACCCTGGAGTGCTTCCCTCTGATTTGGTCCCTGACGTCCCGATGACTTTCGTCGCTAACAGTCTAGTTTTTAGTCTCGACGAGCCACTTATAATCGTCACTACTCACACTGAAGTATGAATCACTTTAGGATCATTCAGGGTCTGTGTGGGCGTCCCTCTATCCGGCACTCGGGGACGCGCCCGGTGAGTAGGCAGCTACATGTTAGATGTGCTAATGGAATCAGTTTAATGATTATTTTAAGGTTATATGATATTTCTATTCTACATAGGTCGCACGAATGAAATAGAATATCTATGGTGGTACAATGATTCGTTTTTTACTGGTAGATAATGGCACCTTTCATATCACCCACGACTTGCACACAACAGAGGGGCCTACACAGCAAAGAAAGATTTATCTGTCCATTTCCAAAAACTAGTATGAGCGCCTTGAAAACTGGGCGCCTTTGTGGTTGAATGTAGTTTCGAGGGTGTTTGGGGGGGTACAAACACTTGATTACCTGTTTGCAAAGGTTGCCAAGGATTATAAGAGGAACTATCAAGTTCTTTTTGTTGGGGGTACTGCGTGGGGAGTATTCCATAACCCCAGAAACTTATGGTGTTAGCCACCAATAGGACATTTTGTGAGAAAACATCATCAAACCTCACAACATGGTAATGTGGCGCATTGAATACTCTACAAAAATGATAAGAGCTAGGAAGACTGGGCGCCCTTGTGGAAGAACGTGTTACTGGAATACCCCCCAGCATTTGTGAAGACTTGACTACCTTTTTCCAAAACTTACTATTTAGGGCTATTCAATTTTTTCGTTTTCAACCACTTGTTGCATTAAATTAATACAATATCTGTTCGGTATCTTTTTAGTGGCGAAACGTACAAAGTAATCACATCTCATTTGTTCTTATATATACCTTTCTATTTGAATACACTTAACACCCATAATAAAATTTCAGATTTTCAAGCAGCTATGGCCCAGCGTAAATTCCTATGTACGGGACTTAATTCGTGACAAAATTCAACCGAAAATGCAAAAGAAACTTCAGAAATTCAAACTAACAGGATTCAAATTTGAGAAGATGATTTTGGGAAGCATTGTAAGTGCACGTTATTGTGCCATTTGTACCTACATATCTATTGTTTACAGCCGCCACGAGTTGGGGGCGTGAAAGTGTACGAGGCAAACGTTGCTCGACACGAGATCATACTCGATTTAGACCTTTTGTAAGTAGCTCATTTAAAATGTGTTTACGTCTTTATTGCGATTTTTAGTTATGCAGGTGATTGCAATTTGAGCTTTACCATGGGTGCTGGAGTTAAAGGCGGGATTAAGGACTTTCAGGTATGGAAATTTGTGTCTCATACTCTGTTGTTGTTCAAGGTGGTCGAGGTTTCGTAAAAAGTTGTATCAGCATTCGTATTTGCTGTATTAAAACGCTTTTTTCTCCATCAAATGCTTAAACATAAATATCAGGTCTTTGCAAGTGTCCTTAAAACAATCACGTGAATTTTTCACGAATATAGGAAGGACCTAGTGTTCAAAATTTATTAACTATCAGATATATTAAATTTACAATGAAAACTCACATTTATTTTTAATCAACCAAAATCAATTGAGTAGCACGTAATAAATAAAAATTTCGGAAACAGTTGCAGGGAACACTGCGCGTCGTTTTGAAACCGTTGCTATCCCGAATGCCGTTAATCGGTGGATTGCAGATTTACTTCTTAAACAATCCCACAATCGACTTCAACCTGGTCGGTTTCGTCGACATTCTCGATCTGCCAGGTTTTAGGTTTGGTATAACTGACGAAACTCGCCCTCTCTAATTCTTTCGTTTCCAGCGATTTATTGCGTCAGCTGATCTTGGAGCAAGTGTCGTCTCTGATGGTGCTACCGAACAAGTTACCGGTGAAATTGAGCAAGCACGTCGAGTCGGAAATGCTGAACGTTCCCGAGCCGGAGGTGACTAAGGTGACGAATTTGAGAACGGTTTTTTCATATTGTGTTTTGGTTAAAGGGTGTATTAAGAATTCATGTTATCGAGGCGAAAAATTTAATGCGGAAGGATATTGGTATTTTAGGTAAAGGAAAGTCGGATCCGTATTGTGTTCTGAACGTCGGGGCGCAGGAGCGCCGTACACAAACGATTGACAATACTGTAGACCCAAAGTGGGACTACTGGTGCGAGGTAACTTGTTGTGTTTCTCTGTTCAAAGGCACACCAATTTTAATTCAGTTTGCATGTTGGTGGTTTTGTGGAGTTTCTGAGTGAGATTTACATTTGGTTAACATTCACACACACACAGACACCTTTTGTTTTGTTAGTTCTGTTTGTTTTTTGATAAATCGTTTATTAGTTTGCGGTTATGGATACCAATGGCCAACAATTAATTCTGCACCTGTATGACTACGATGACGGATCAAAGGATGACGATCTGGGCAGGTAATATGGATTTAAAGAAAAGGAGGGCGGTAGAGTAAAATTTATGTGCTTTGTTCTGTGAAATCTATTTCCAAGCATGTCTTATGTCGAACTAACTTGCATGAGTACTTCACTATAATGCATTGCGAATCATTGGTGTAAACATAAATCACAAATATTAGGCTATGGTTGACTCAATAGAAGGGCAGCTTGTTACTATTCACGTATGGGACTGGGATCCAGGATTTCCAGGTTCACAAAATGACGATTTACTTGGAAGGTACTTTTTGTTTGTTAGTAATGTGTATTAGTAGAAGCAATTGAGTTGATATTCTTTAGTTTGCTTACAAACCGTAACAAATTAGCTAGTTGCTATACTGCTGCCTGATAACCCCCTTTGCTTGCCTGTTGCACGAATAATATCATTCAATTGTTTATACATTTTAAACATTAAGTTTACTGATAACGTACTTATTTTGTTTTTCAAACAATTGTTTGTGGTTTACTCAAAAAGATAAGCTACATACATTTATGCCATACTACAATAAATTTAATTCAGCCTAATAATGAGAAATATATATCTTTAAAGCTTTGATTACACGAAATGATTAATGAATAATTTCTCATTTGGTCCATGAATACGGAAAATTTTCATTTCTACAATGTGTAGTTGCTTGTATGTTCGCCAGGATTAAGAAAATGCGGTTTTAATGGCTACACTGGACACCTCCATAACATCCAAAAAGCATAGTGATATAAGTAATAAATAATAAGTGGCATGTTTTTGATTAGGCTTTTAAGTATATTTTTTAACAGTGTTCAGTATGGGAGTGCACTCTGATCTTGATATATTTGGTACATTGGGGCCTTTTTGGAATTAAGTAGGTACATATCATATCTCGCAGATATGGGTCTATCACAACATTTATTAATTATAAAATACTTATGCGCCAAGGTGCGAATATGTTGACAAGAAACTGTACACCTGTCCTTGTCTTAGATAAATCCGAGAATCAGTCCATTTTTGTAGTACATCTTTTTCCATATCCATACCTCAAATAGAATTCTGAAGGGTATATTCAATGAAACTGTTTCATCTAAAATATTTTCAATTATATTACCGGGGCTCTACGGTGGGAGCCAAATAAATAATGCTGTGTGCAAAGGCGTGCGGTTAACAAAACCACTGTCCAGCTAACTGAAACAAATCAAAATTTTTTTAATAATTTTTCCTTGTATACTTCCGGCATGCACTACAAAGATAAGTGCCAATATTGACCTAAATTAATTTACTATGCAAATTTTCATCAATGATTGAAATAAATCTTGGATACGAAAGAAAAATCTGAAATGAACAGTATCTGGGTCGCACAATGGGCTCGAATAAACACACAATTAATTAGATAGATACTTTATTTCCATGTTCACCATTGGATATACACAAAAACAGCCAAAAAATAACAAAATAACAATATTACAATAACAAAAATTTATTCCGTAACACATTGAATGATAATAAAAACGAAATTCCTGAAATAAAAAGAAACTTACAAAGCTTGTTTCGACATAGTACCCTGCACGCAGATGGTCAATAATGAAAAATAAGAAAATCTTAAAATTACATAGTTTTTTCCCTTAATAGGTCCTCTTAATAATCTGGTCGTGAATAGTTTGCGATATTCAGACATACTTACCAAAGACGCTGCTAGTTTCAGTGTTTTAAAAAAAACTTGACTCAGTAACTTGAAGTAGCTTGAAAAACAAGATCAAAAAGATTCTCGGAGGCTGCTCTGACCGTAAAAACTTTTAACTTTCACCATTGAATAAGTAATCATCGTTCACTAATCAGACAACTTGACTTTAAATAAATTTAAAATGTAAATAACCATCTGTATTGCAACCATCCAGCTGTAACTAGATTATTATATATCTTTATTGACGGCCAAGCCAATATTTTAGACATTAATTCCAATAACATATTTTACTTAATATATAATCAAAATAACACATCTTTAGTAAAAAAATAACAATGTATGATTAGATATTAATCATAAGAATAAATTAAATTACTTAAACTACTATATTTAAACAAAAATGTAACTAATCTAATCTAAATCGCTCCTACAATGCTAAAAAACAGTAAAAAGTTAAGTCGATGTCTTGTTTAAAATTGTCGTTTCAGAAGGTCTGCGATGAGTTTAGTTGATAAATAAAACAAGTCTATTTCTGGAAACTCATTGCATGTAGCAGGGATCCTTGCTAACGGTTGACTCATAGTGTAGTTGTATCGATAGGTAGCTTCTTTAAAAAGTTGATCGGGTAGTTCTTTGAGGTATCGTGAATTGAAGAGCACTAAGAAGCTTAGGACAATCCAGAGTTCCTTTTAGTAGTTTAGCTGCGATTAGGACATCAGCTATTTTCCGGCGGTCTTCAAGCGGTATAATATTATATTTTGCCATGATGATGTTCTTGGAATTCAAATTGCCAGATTTGAATTTTATATAATTCAGGAATTTGGATTGAACTCGTTCAATGCTATGAATCAAATAGTTGAAGTTAGGTGACCATATTGGACAAGCATATTCCAGAGTGCTCCTACAGTAGACGTTAAATAGAGTCACTAAAACATAGACATTACGAAAGGATGCACAATTTCTTTTAATAAAGCCCAGCATTTTGAAAGCTTTATTAACCTTTTCGTATGTGTTGGCTAAAAGTCAATTTTTCATCAAAGAGTACACCCAAGTCCATTATGTCGTGAACTCTTTGAAGCGGAGGATCATTAATAGAGTATTTAAATGCGTGAACTGTTTTTCTCCTCGATTTTGTAAATAATTTACATTTACTAGCATTCAGAGACATGCAATTATTTAGGCACCATTTGCTCAATTCATCCAAATCCCTTTGAAGTAAAAAGCTGTCCTCTGTGGTTGAGATAACGCAAAATAATTTCAAGTCATCTGCAAAAAGCAGGCAAGAAGTGTTCTTCAGAGAATATGGTATATCGGTAACATATATACTAAACAAGAGAGGTCCAAGATGACTACCTTGGGGCACTCCTGATAAGGCTTCTATCAAGTCTGACCTTTCTTCAGCTACCTTTACTGTCAACTTCCTCTCACATAAATATGAACTGATCCATTTTAGTATAACTCAGTGAAATCCATTTCCTTGTCAAAATTATATGGTCAACTGTGTCAAACGCTTTGGCGAAATCTGTATATATGATGTCCAGATGTGCATTATTGTGAATTGCTTCATATGGTGCCTATTGTAGTAGGAGAAGATTAGTGGTAGAAGATCGTCCATTTCGGAATCCATGTTGTTCGTCGCAAAGGTAATAATTGATAGAGTTTTTGAGTTTATCATAAACAATTGATTCAAAAATCTACTCTTCAAACACTCATTAAATAGGTAATATATGAAGAGGCATTAAAAGATTAGAGGTACACTTCGTACGAATATTGCGGGTATTTCTTCAATTCCGGGGTTTGATTTCTTTGTATGCACTGAAAATCTTTGTAATCAAAGCTTTAAAGAATCGCAATTTTTAATTTGCTTATTAATTTTCAAATAATAAAAAACGCTTGGTACCAATTTTTACTTTTGACCTTCAACGTAATTTGTACAATAATTGTAGAGCTGCAATTGACATCAATACAATCGCAAAGAAGGGAGAAGATGATATGGTATGCGATATTTTAGTAAAATATGTCTAGTTTCATTATCATTTTTAGTGGATCACTCTTGAACAAGCTAAACACGGCATGGTCCATGTACGGTTCACTTGGTTCGTCTTAACTACCAATTACTCGGACCTACGTGCGGTAATCTGCGCGAAAAGTGCCTAAGCTTTCTTTAAATTGTCATCTTAGGTGCTGGAGGAAACGCAAATGCTACAAGTTACCTCGATGAGTACAGCTCTACTCATCATTTACGTAGATTCAGCCAAGGGTTTGCCTGTAAGTCGTATTCTAAGTGGGATGTATTGCGAAACTGTGATATTTCAGCAAGCCCGTACTCAAAGCAAACCAGATCCGTACCTGCTGTTAACAGTCGGGCGAGAAAGCCAACAGACGTCAGTCAAGAAGAAAACTTCGGACCCGGTTTGGGAACAGGGTTTTAACTTTTTGGTTAATAATCCCAATGCCGACACGTTGTATCTGAATTTTATTGATCATAAAACAGGTGCTGGTCTAGGCGAGCTGACCTACAACTTGTGCGCCTTGTCTGAGAAGCCTAATTTGTGTGTCAATTTACAGCCATTTGGTTTATTGAAGAGTGGCCCGCAGGCCAAGCTTACATTTTCAATGCATTTAAGGGTAAGTTGCGCAGGCACGATAATATAAATACAGCTGATCCATAGATTTTGAAACATTACATTCCCGAAGCCGAGGACCACGTTTCCAAGCTTAAGCGTAACGATTCTGAACTGTCTACAGGTTCAAAAAGAACGATTTCGCGCGAAAGCTCATTAAAAAGTGAAACAGAATCTAACGTACAAGAAGGTACAGAATCTCTCGAGCAGATTTCTGTCCCTTTGCAGTCTGCTGTTCCACCAGAATCTCAAGGCAACGGTCTTACTCATAGGACTCTTACTGACACTTTGTAAGTAAACAATTGGGGAAATGTGTGTGCAATTCGCCATTGCAGTTCGGCAGGGGAGGCTGGTCTTGGACGGATTCAAATCACACTGCGCTACAGCGTTCAAAGACAGCGGCTAATTGTTGTTATTCACAAGATAGCGTAAGTAGTATGTAGGTGTGATTCGGTGCAAGCGAATAATTTTAGCAATCTGCCTTTGCCATCCAAAGATCCGTCTAACATACCCGACCCGTATGTCAAGCTGTATTTGTTACCAGGTAGGTCGAAGGAATCGAAACGAAAAACACAGGTAATGAGTACATTAAATTTGCGACTGTTCTAAGAGTGCATCGTTTAGGTTGTGAAAGATAATTGTAACCCAGTTTTCGATGTAACTTTCGAGTATGTACTGTCCCAAGGAGAGTTACACACCCAACAGCTTGAAGTAACGGTAGCTACACAAAAGCAGTTATTTTCAGGAAGTAACACCATGGGCCAGGTAAATATAACTTGTAGATTTGCAATATGAAATATTTTCGTGTAATGCAGGTGCTTATTGATTTGGGCAAGTTTAATTTAACCCAATCAAATACATTTTGGTTCGATCTACAACCAGAAGTTGAATCTTAAATGTTTGCCGTGCGATTGATGGTGCCTTTTAGAAGTGCTTAACTGTAAGCTTTTAATAATGTTGTTTATATACATAATTAATTGTTATACTAACTTATTCTCATTGTATTTACTCTATTATTGTACAAACCTGGATGTCATTATAAAGATTAGTGGTGATATTTATAAACAATTCTCAGATTTTGGTTTTTTCAAACTGTCGCGTCCTCTGTGGGACATTTATGGTTGTAACGATGTGGCTACAATCTAAACACGTTCCTGATGATATGGATCCAGAGGATTGGGTTCGTTGCAACCTTATCGTAGGAGGGCAGTATACAAAGTGAGTGTAACAGTAATATTCACACTTTAAGAGACGCTGATTTAGAGTGTAGGTACCTTCTTTAGGTTTCGGCTGTAATTTCCATCGACAATTTTTGCTTCATCTACGATTAGCCCTCTCATAGGTATAAGAGGTAGTTAAATTTTATGTCAAGTTCAAGTGTCAGTTCCGTTTCGTTTTACTTACGAAAAGTGTTCGACGTACCAGGTTGCAACCTGGTGTTAAACTCACCGTTGCCTGAGAGTGCCCACGCCCTTGGCTTACTTTTGCTGATAACAAAGCAACCATTTTGTGGTGAAATAGGTCATCGGGTCTTGAACGCGATTTAATATCAAAAATTTTTAAACGCGAATGTTGTTGGGAGACCACCGCTTTCTTCTGAAGGGGTTGGTCAATTAAGTATTGTACCTGATATAGAGCAGGTTACGAGTAGAGCGAGGCCCTTCAGGCATTAATCAACTAATTATATATACCGAGCTCTGCGGCTTGGGAGGTTTTTCTTTTTTATGGTTTACAGGTTTGGATGCGAAAACTGAGCTAATTTCTTGGCGTCAACGTCTAACTTCATTCAAGGTAAGTTGCCTTATAAGTTTTACTTGTACTTGGCCCTAATCGTGTCCTATTGGCGAGGTGTGCAGATTGCAGAATTAATATCAAAAAAGTTAGTAGCTGCATATGTGATTCTGTGAATAATCGCACACTTTGCTGCATTTTTTGGAAGAGGTTCCAAAAATACTAGTACATGCAATTTATATCGATTAATTACGCATACTGTAGTAGGTACCTACATATTCTAGTAAAACGGCGGGTAAATTGCTAAAAATTAGTGAGTTTTTAGATGCATATTTAGCCGTTTTTAGTGTAGGTATACTGTACCTATACGAGTGATTGATATGCATGGAAATTCGATCTCTATGCCATTAACAATTTTGAAATAAATCAACGAATATACAACATGAGTATCAAGATAGCTGTGGGAAACTTCACTAGTCTTTGTCGTATTTCCTTTGTGAAAGGCGTGTGTCAAGAAGAAATCAATAATACAGATTAGACTCAGGTTGGAGGATCCCGTCAGTATGGAAATTTGACTATACGTATAGTATGGCTGGTAGGAATTACATGAAACGCGGTTTTCACACCCGTTTTGAGAGAATTCCTTGTTAGATCAGTTTTCGTGCGTTTATGTGCATGTTCATACTCTGGAACGTTACCTATATACAGTGCGATATTCATTTACGAGTAGACATAGGGATTTCCTATGTCTAGTTTTAAATGACAAAAACTCTGCTGAAGGACGCCTAATTTTATGCAACTAAAATAACTTCTTAAAACAAATGAAGATTTTGCTGTCATTGGAATATAATTGCTTTTTCTTCCGTATTTTTATTTTCGTTCGTGTGCGATGTATTCAACTGAAAAAAGTTGATATTGTCAATTGGTTTCGTGCTGGTAATAGTTTAAGGAGTGTAAGAGACTTATTTTCTGTGTGGATCACTTTAAAATTAGTAAAAATTTTTCTTATAGAACGTGGCCTGTAGAATCCATAATTTCAAACAGTTCCAAGATTGGGCTACTAGTTCAAAAGTTACAGCCCTTTGAATTTTCTTTCGAAATGGTTTCTAGTCTATAACTTTTGATT